GTCGAGGGCGTGGTGGCGGCCGTTATCTGCCCGTTCACGCCCGCCCGTCTGCGTTCGTACGTACAGGTCCACGCGGTGCAGTTGTCCGCCGACGCCGGCACGACACGGAGCCTGGGATCATGGGCTGCCACCGAAGTGAGCTGTTCCGTGCCCCGACTCTGCCCCGCCCGGTGCGACGGAAGGGCGAGGCGACTGCGTTCCGCCGTGGCTGCTCCCCTCGCTGCTTAGTTCTGCTCCCGGCGACAGCGCCCGCCCGCGCGTCCGCCGCCTGCAATCGGCCCGCCCCCGTCCGCGAGCGGGCAGATTCCCTCGCGCCCGATCGCCATGCCCGTCTCTGTGGGGCCCTTCACCAGCTGCTGCACCTCGATAGACCGCCGTGCGCCCGCCCCTCCTCCTCCTCCTCGACTTTACGTCTCCTCCGCCTCTTTACGACCCCTTGTCTCGCGGACGACTGCGTCTGTGACACCCAATCGCCTTCGAATCGTTTAGCTCATCTTCCTAGCTTCTGAAACCCGTACACAATGTCCCGCTGTTCTCTCTGAGGTACCAGCACGACACCGGCCCGCTGACCAATTTTTATTCCGCTAACGCGTACTCGTCAAATTCTCTTTCCGACTCTCTCCGCTGATCGCTCCTTGTGCCACACGACGCAGTCAATTCGGTCACGCCGTGCGATCACAGTTCGGGCGAACCACACCCCTTACTTATTCGGGTGCCCTCTAACGATCAAAATACCACTGCTCACGTGTGGCCTTATTGCACGTAACAATCAGGTCATCTGCTCCTCGCCCGGCCACTTTCACTAGGAGGAAATCTACGCTAAGTAAGCTTGTATTCTACTTGTTCTATAATTGTGTTCAGGCCAGCCGCGCCCAACATCCGCTTTCCAACCCAATTCAGGTTTCTAGGACTTCTTTCCATTCCCCATCCTTATGTCTCCGTGCTTTCGTCCTGCCGAGTTTAAAAACCTCTGCGCTTTTTCGAAGCCAGAACTACTTTATGCAGGTAAAGGACGACTGCATATCTATCTTAAAGAAACCGGCGCCTGAACTACATCAGCGTGAACCACGTGCATTGGCCAATAATAGACTGCGGGGGAGCGCCGGCCCTGCTCGCGACTGTATCGAGTCAACCTCTTCCCTCAGGCCATCCAGAGCAGAGGGGGCCGCTTCCTGTGGGCCGTCGCGCGCGGTACACTGAGGTCCCTAATCATTTCCTATCACCACCCCCGTTCAGCGTGGCAACTGGTTCATCAAGCTTATCCAATCACATCATACAGCGTCAATGCGCCCCTACTACACGTTCTCTCGTTGTCCACCCATGTACTTTCCAATTTAAGTCATTTTTTGAAACCTTTTCCGCTTACGGTACTTTTATTCTGCCCGTCGTCAGTGACCGGTTTCCCTCGAACTTCGGCGACACCTGCTCCTTCCACAGACGTCATCTGTTTCCGCCTTTCTGCCGCCAGTTCTCTGCACATCACTCACCCGTACCGCTTATTCTTCTCTCGGCCTCAACACTGCCCACACCTCCTTGTACCTTCTTGCACGGCTTTTACTCGCTCATTCATGCGAACCAACGGCGCCATGAATGGAGCAAAGCGCCACGTGGTACTCAAAAACACATTCGGGAATACGTTCTACAAACTAGATACATTTCTCCACTTTCGCACTATTATTAAAAGTCGTATTCTTTCTGTTCTTTGCTGTATCCGGGCGGATGGTTTGTGATTTCTGGCCTGGATCTGATCGACCCGAGCCCCAAATGGCATGTTTCGTCGACGGTTTTCTGAGACAAACCTCAGGAGATCCGAAAGCCGCGACCGTGGAGGTAGCCACGCTTCCAGTACTGTGGACTGTGTGTGGCGCCGAGTCGCGAAATGTACGACAGATGCTCTTTCGAACATGCGGCATCTTTGCCACGTACGTCTGCATAACTTGAGTTTCGGGATGTTTACCATGTTATTTTGAATAACAAAGCATGAATGATCCTGGGTCGTAAAACTTCAAAGATACTTGGATCTCGCGCCTACAGAATTTAGGATTTAGGCGTACAACGAGACTTCAAAACCTCATTCCTCATGCCCACACCTTCATGGGATGCTGCCTAGATCTGCAATACAAATTAAATTAAACAAATGTCAGTTTTGTTTGAGTCAACTTTTTCAAATCTTTAGCTCTTATGCTAAAATCAATTCAGCAATAATGTGTGAAAGCCAGTCTATTTAACTCGTGGTGCTCCACATACCCCACGCTATTTTCGCCGTATTAGACTGTACGCATAATATAGTATATATAATATTACAACTTGTATCATACTCTTCTTTCAACCTCTGAATAAAGCAAAAAAAAAACACAAAAATTTGTTGGGCGATATTCACATTTTCCGAATATAATTTCTGACATTCAGAGATTTTCATGGATAAAACTGCCGTCAACGCGGCATCGGGTTATTTTCAAGTACAATTTCTATTCTATTTATTCTTTTTTAATTTTCCCGTCTCCGCGTAAACGGAGAATAACTCATATCATTTCACTTTTTGTCTTCCAAGGAAATTAGAATATTACTCCTGCGCAATACGGAATAATTAGTATCAGCCCCGGCTGCGTATTAAATTTGATTCTGCGCACTTGGCAAACTGCGGAATTTGCTGCTGCTTCCTGTGTTTCCGGTAATGTTAGGCCGCCAGCGAAGGTGGAAAACATAAGGGAATCCTGAAATCAGCGTTGAG